GGATTTAACTTATATGAAGTTTATTTAGAGGAACAGAAGATATTGTTGCTCCTCATGGAATTCCTGTTGACTTGCTTGATAGAATTCTAATTATTCGTACGTTGCCATATACATTGGAAGATATCAGAGCAATAGTGCAGATTCGTGCGAAAACAGAGGGACTAACATTGTCAGATGATGCTTTAAATCATCTGGCTGATTCGGGCATTAGGACATCATTGCGGTATTTTACTATTTTTGAGTTCACCTCATATCAAATAGGTTATTAGTAAGCAATAAATCTTGTCTTTTGTAGTTATGTCATCCAACTACTTACTCCTGCTAGTATACTTGCTCGAACAAATGGACGCGAAAACATTACTTTAGAAGATATAAAAGAAGTAGATGATTTGTTTTACGATGCCAAATCGTCTGCAAAAGTTCTTGCTGAATATCAAGGTTTGTGAAAGTTTAGTCAATAATATTTAGTAATAACCTAAAGGGCAATGTGTTTATTGATTATATTTAAAATACTAACCACTATTTAATAACTTTTTTAATAGCACAATATGTTTCTTGATTGCTTTAGTATAATAAATAAATTAGATAATTTTGTTAATTATTTTTTGCATATAACAATTGTATTATTTTCAAATGCTTTTATTTATAATAAATTATTTTAATTTAAACTTAATTTATATTTAAATTTGATTATGGTTTTGTATTAATACAGTTTAGTTAGGAATGTCCTCGTACCAAAATTTTATATAGTTAGGTGTTGGGATCCGGTTTAGGACAGTCTTTTTATAGCATAATCTCTAAGTTTAGTTATGCACGATAAAATTTTGTGATTATTAATCACGAGACATATTCTCGAAAAAATTTATTAAATTTTTTCGATAATAGAGATGTTATAGTCCGGACATCTGCTAACGACTAACAAAAATGACTATCCGACACGTGATTATAATATTGGCCTGGTTTGTGTGATGAGCAAATCTACGGACGCAAAAGTTACATTGTTGATAGATTTACGGTTACTTTGTTGATAGGCCTAAATTACCCCTTAAATTGAAGTCGCGTTCTTGATGCATTTTTTGTAAAATATTTTGAACTTTGAGCGAAGATATCTTAGTAATTACTCGACCAAATTCGATGATTTTTTTTTTTTTTGTTCTAATTCT